AGAGAGAGAGAGAGAGAGAGAGAGAGAGAGAGAGAGAGAGAGAGAGAGAGAGAGAGAGAGAGAGAGAGAGAGAAGGCAATACCAGCAATCAACTCATTAGTTGATTAGTTGATACGCTGACAGCCATGCCAGACGCCAAGGCGAAGCGCGAACATTCAGGCACTCGTCTTCATCAGGACCATATATCCCGCACGTAACGCTTCTGCTTTATCATCGAGCTCAGGTGTGCAATCGCCATTGGCTCTTTCATTGAACCATGCTTGCACAGGATGTTGCAGAGAGCTGCATGAACATCTTTGGCCATGTTCACACCATCTCCGCAGACGAAAATGTGCGTATTCTTGCGACCCAATATGAGTTCCGCCAATTCCTCTCCGTACTCTTCCATCCGATGCTGCACATACACCTTCTTATCCGTTGCTCGGGAGAAGGCTAACACCAGTTTGTCTAGCGTTCCGTCCTTCTCAAATGCTTCAAGCTCGTGCTGGTAAAGAAAGTCTTCCTCCTCCTTCCTGCACCCAAAGAAAAGCCACCACGGCCCCTTCTTTTCCGGAATCTCTTCTTCTCGGTTGACCGTCCCCAAGTTCTCATTCTGTCCATTGATAGCTCCCACGAGTTGCGCCTTCCGGTCCTCCAGAAAGCCTCGGAAAGGTGCAACGCCGGTTCCAGGGCCAATCATGATCACGGGCGCGCTGACGTCAGGAGGCACATGGAAATCACCTCCACTCTTGACAAAGATCAGTAAAGACACGGACAAATCGGTGGCCATCCCCGTGCTACCCGGATGCGCCAACAACCTATCGAAGTAATTTGTGCAGACTCCCCGGAAGATCCTGTTCCCAGGGCCAGGCAGGTCCATCTTAACGACACTAAAGGCAACTTGGATGTGGTTGGGATGCATGAGCTGGGAGCTGGTGACCGAATAGAACCGGGAGGTGAGCGGTGGGAGAGTGTCGAGAAGATGTGCAAGCGGGGGAGAGCAGCTTGGGTGCATCTGAAGCAGGTCCAACAAGGAAAGACGTGGCTCTTGCACCTGTTTTGCGAAGATTTCCTTCCCACCTCGGCTTGACCATAACAAAAGCTGCCTCTTCTCCTCAGGCTTGGAACAGCACTCAGCGAGCAGCCGCAGAAGCCCTTTCTTTGGGATCGCAGTGATATCACAATACCTTGCGAATGCATCGCGAACAGTGCATGGGCACTTCACATGCGGTAGCACAGGGCCATCCCTGCCAGGACCATCTGCAGAACCGGGGGTTACTTCAAACCTCGCTGACCCATTCAGACCTAGTCTATTGATAAGGCTGTCCACAACCGTGGGGTCGTTCTCTGGGGCAATCCCTATTGAATCACCAGGGTTGTAGGAGATGCCCAAGCCGGAGATGTCCATCTCCATGTGCAGCACCCGTCTATCAGACCACTCAGCAGTCATGCAACGGGCATCAGTGACCTGCACAAGGTGTGTCTGTGCTCCTGTACCTACAGCTAGTCCAGATTCATTCTGTGCTTCATCTACAACTTGCACCTGCACAGAATCTGCACCAAAGTGAGGTTCACCCCCAATCCATTCCACATGTATGCTGCAGGGTTGCAATGGTGGAACACCGACCAGGTTCACCTCTGTATCTGCACCGTCCAACGCATGATTGGCCACTCCAGCACCAGCAATATGGTCCCCCTTGTCAGAAGGAATCGTTGTGGCACTGGCTTGCTCGGCTCCGCTGCCAGCCTGACGAGCATCTGCGGACAAGGCCTCTGCCAACGCCGCCTTCAACGGTTCCCAGAGATCAGCAGTCCATGCCTCCACTTTGTCATCGATGCCCTCGACTTCGTCAGCTTCGATGCAAGCCGTAAAACATCGCGCACCTAGCTCTGGAAGTCGACGCGTGAACAGACGAGGGATGGCCATGTATCTGGTGTAGTTGGAATCCCCGAGTCCAACCACTGTGTATCGCACCCCTGACAACATGGTCGCCGGATGGGATCGCTTGCGCAGATCGCCACAAAACCTGACCGCATTCTCAGGCGGATCCCCATCACCAGTGGAGGACACAACCACTATCAGGACACGGACAGACGACAACTTTTCAACCGTAAACTCATTTAGCGTTCGTACTTGGGACTTTATGCCTCGACCGACAGCCTCCGCATTGATGACCTTCGCAATCTCCATGGAGTTCCCAGTTTGAGACCCATACAAAATCAGAACTTCTGGTTCGACCTTCGCGGCGGAAGTCCTTGCAGAAGTCTTGCGGGCAGCAGCTAGCCTTGCTCTGATTGCTGCGCCAGGGCCGGCAATCGCTGCGCTGTTGACATCAACATCTGAGGGCGCCTCTTGCAGGCGAGGCTTATCCACTGCAGGCTTTGCAGTTGGCAAGTCCTTAGGCAAGCTCAGAGATACAGGAAAAGGACCAGGTGCAGGTTCCGATGCGGGAGCGATCACCGGCAGAGGAGCTGCAGCAGGAACCGGAGTGATCACAGAGGCAGGTAAAGGTGCAGGGTCAGGGCCAGACGCAGTCACAGGGGGCAATACTGCTGCAGGTGCAAGCGCCGGTGGAGGTGAAACACAGCTTGTTGCAGTTGTGGTCGGTTTTTCATCTCTGAACGCTGGATCAGCGTTGGCTTCACCATCCCCTTCAGATGACAGTTGAAGTTTCCCCGCTTCATCAACAGAGACATCTCTGGACACTTCTTGAGAGCGAGCGCCGCTACGGGAAGCAGGTGCAGGCCGCAACCAACACCACAGAAAATACCCTCCAACTATACACATAAGACCTAGCCCAACCCCTAGAAAGACAAATGGTGGCAGCTGGGACAGCTGGGACCCAAAGGTGTTCCATAGCCATGGGAAAAGCAGGGCACATACGATACCAACTATGGCCCCAGCCAGGATAGATTCAGCATCGAACGACGATGACAAACTCTCAATCGCCTTCATCTTAAACTCACTGTCTCTCTCTCTCTCTCTCTCTGATAGACAGAGGAAGATGATTGAAAGGCCCGAAAGGGTACAGAATGCTAGACTATAACGATCAGTTTTTGGTGATACAAGAGTGAAGTCTCATCACCTCAGAAGCTCTATGCTCCAGAGAAGCACTGCCACACCATAGCAGAAAGAAGGACACCCTCGTAAAGGAATATCTGACAATTCACATCGGCCAATCAACCACCACGATCAAAAGAGACCACATTTGGCAATCAAACCCATCAGTCAAGAGGATTCCAACCTTATGCTCGGTTCTGCTCATTTCTTCCTCAAATACAAGCACATCCGCTGCTCCTTGGTTTCATTTTCCTATTTTGTCGCCAACTTTGACTCACCGTAATGGCAATTCTAATTCACTGCGGCACCATAAAGTTCTGCAAGCCCGAAATTGAACCCCAGGTTACCGCCGGTAGACCCGACGATTTCCGTTCCAAAAACGCCAAAATTGCGGCAATAAACCCCAAAGTTAAATGCCCACCAAAGGCCCAAAGGAGTAATAAAATCATGTCCAGTGTCTAAATAAAATCATCATGTGCCTAAAGGGGCAATAAAATCGAAGTTCAGTGCTCAAAGATGGGCCCACCGGTATACGAGTTCAGACAAGGATCGTGGGTCGGTATCCGATCTGTCTAAACTGATCAGCCAAATAGAACGCCGGGTCATTATTCATGTATCTAGACAGAAAGTTATACTGAATACAGCTATATAATGATCGGGCGTTCTATTCCTGATGACGAAGGTGGCTTCTTTCCATTTAATTTAATTGCTAATATAATTAAAGGCATTCGCATAATGTGACTAATGTCTAATTTGTCTAAATTAGAAGAAAACAAAACAAAAAAAACAAAAACATTACATGATCGCTTGCTTTTTGATAGGATAAAAATTATAGAAATTGAAGAACTTACTCTCTTCTCTTAGGCCGTACTCACACTGGGACTTTCCTGGCTGTACATGACTGCTTTTCCGACCCGGAGTGGATGCACCTGACCGCAATTACGTCCACAGAGAAGTTGTACAAGTTCCTGTAGTGTGAGTATCCCCTGCATGTCGGAATTGCGATCGTTCAGAGATCATCATGCGGATGGATGGATTAGCACATGTTCAGTGAAGTTGTAAATCTCTGTTCAGTGTTCACCCAATAAAAATAAAACGTATTACGTCATCAAATCACTCCACTTGCTGCTGAGAGGAAACCCATATGAAGTGATTATAAGCAAGCACCAGTGCCTACCACCGTCTCTCTCTCTCTCTCTCTCTCTCTCTCTCTCTCTCTCTCTCTCTCTCTCTCTCTCTCTCTCTCTCACACACACTGTCTCTTATACACATCTAGATGTGCACATGCGCAAAATATGATAATATAGCAAAACACACAACGTGCACGCGCGCTTGCACCTGTCTCTTATACACATCTAGATGTGTATAAGAGACAGCACACACATACCTCTCTCTCTCTCTCTCTCACGCACACACACACAC